TCTCTGGATGGATAATGCAGCTAAGACAGGTTAGAAAGGGTCTGAGACCTTTGGAGACCAGTTAGAAAGGGTCTGAGACCTTTGGAGACTAGATAGAAATAGTCTGAGACCTTTGGAGACTAGATAGAAATAGTCTGAGACCTTTGGAGACCAGTAAGAAAGAGTCTGAGACCTTCAGAGACCAGTTAGAAATAGTCTGAGACCTTTGGAGACCAGTTAGAAATAGTCTGAGACCTTTGGAGACCAGTTAGAAATAGTCTGAGACCTTTGGAGACCAGTTAGAAATAGTCTGAGACCTTTGGAGACCAGTTAGAAATAGTCTGAGACCTTTGGAGACCAGTTAGAAATAGTCTGAGACCTTTGGAGACCAGTTAGAAAGAGTCTGAGACCTTTGGAGACCAGTTAGAAATATTCTGAGACCTTTGGAGACCAGTTAGAAAGAGTCTGAGACCTTTGGAGACCAGTTGGGCTGCAGAGATGAAGCTGCTCCTGTTGCTGCTGCTGATGGAGAGAGCTGTATCACAGCAGAGAGGTGAGAATATTTCTTTACTTCAGTTATATTAAGGGTAACTGGTTTCTACTGAGGAACACATCTTCACTTCTTTGTAGTATAAATTATTTTACATATACAACTATGAAAATAAAAAACTTGATGCTTTTTGTTTGAAAAAACTGTAAAAGTAACTGAAACGTAACCACGACTTTCATCAATAAATCAGTTTAGAACAAATATTAGTATATCTGATGTAAGCCGCTAACCCTGTTAGCTCTATTCGCTCTACTAGCTTTTAGCTCTGTTAGCACTGTTAGCTCTTCTAGCTGTTACACCTGGTAGCTCCAAGTAGGTCAGAGTTTATTTAAAACTCGAGTGGCTCGTAATTTGAAAGAGATATAAAGCACAATTCATCCAGTTTGGATTAATTTACAGTTTTAATTTCAGAGAACAAGTATAAGAAGACCAGCAGCCTGTGTGCTGTGTGTATTATTGCATGATATGGATGTATTGTTATGTATGATAACGGAACACATTGTGCTTTTGGTCACCTTGACTTTATCTGTTGAGTCTTCAGACGTTTCTCTGATTTCACACTTTGTCACCTTCAGATTTTACTGCTCTGTTTATTCTGTATAATTTATTATTACTTTGCTTTATAGAGACGTTTATTTATACAGCAGAAACGTATTTATTTACTACAGTAGAGTATTTATTTATTATTTAGATCCAAAACATCTAGTTGGAGATTTGAGTCAAGAGTTGATCATCATATTGATGAGGATCTTTAGACTGTGTGTCTGTGTGTGTGTGTGTGTGTGTGTGTCTGTGTCTGTGTGTGTGTGTGTGTGTGTGTGTGTGTGTGTCTGTGTGTGTGTGTGTGTGTGTCTGTGTGTGTGTGTGTGTGTGTGTGTGTGTCTGTGTGTGCGTTGGTGTGTGAGTTCGTCCGGTTGTGTCCGGCCCCCTGTAATTACGCATAACAACACCACACCTCCCCTCTTCCTCTCTGCCCCCTAAATTACCCCCACCCGCAGTCACAAAATCCCTAAAACTCCCTCAGGGCCTCAAAACACTGTAAGTCTGTGTGTTGGTGGGGGAGAGGGTCAGAGGTCAATCTGAACATCCAACTAAACACATTCCAGCATTCACTCACATGTTAATTTGTGTTGTGTGTGATCAGCTGTGGAGGTGTGATAACATCAACAGGGTGGTCTCACACACACACACACACACACACACACACACTCTCATAGGCAACACGCACACAGTCTGTTGTGAGAACACACAGACCTTCAAACATCCAGATGTTTGTGTGAGCTCCTGATCCACTGATGTACTCTGTCGGGTCGTCAGCGTGCTAACGCTTAGCGGTGTGTTCCAGGACTGTTCCCGGCCATCTTGAACCTGGCCAGCAACGCAGTGATCAGCAGCAACGCCACGTGTGGCGATCCAGGACCGGAGGTCTACTGTAAACTTGTGGAACATGTTCCAGGGCGACAGATCAAGAACCCACACTGCCTGAGATGTGATGCCAACTCCGTTCTGTCCAAAGGTACGGAACCAGAACCACAGAAGGACGCGCTAAGAAGATTGTTAATGCATCTCCAAATACGGTCACACTTCCTGCTACAGGCCGGGTGGTTAGCTGAAGGAGGTAGCTGCATAGCTAATTTGCTAGATAGCTAGTTAGCTTGTCAATCAATTAGTCTGTTAATGAATTGAAATGTTGAATCAAATTATTGACGATATTCTGAATAAAATCCTTTAATCACATGTTTCAATATTTGCTCGGAGAAATCCGTGAATGAAGATATTTCAACTCAACAACACCCACAATGCAACGGTGCTAAGTCTCTCTGAACTGTTCAACGTAACATTTACAACTAACCGAAGTAATTCGGGTGTGATGTTCCCCTCTACCAATCAGAGTTGTGCAGGGTTTTACCTCGTCCTCTTAGGACCCACATGTACCAGGTACTACCCGGTAGAGGCGGATGGTATTAATTACTGATCGTGTTTGTGTTGTTTAGAACGTCATCCGATCACAAACGCCATCGATGGCACAAATTACTGGTGGCAGAGTCCGAGTATCAAGAACGGTCATCAGTTTCACTGGGTCACGATAACCCTGGACCTGAAACAGGTAAGAAATATACATATATATATATATATATATATATATATATTACTTGACTGTAACCCCGGCTCTCTGACTGTAACTCCTGCTCTGTAGATCTTTCAGGTCGCCTACATCATCATCAAGGCAGCTAACTCTCCTCGACCAGGTGAGACGTGCCGTTTTTTGGTCTGTCTGTCTGTCTGACTTGTCTCGGTCTGACCCGTCTTTCTGACCTGTCTTGCTATGTCAGGTGACTGGATCCTGGAACGCTCCCTGGATGGTGTGACATTTGACCCCTGGCAGTTTTACGCCCTCAGTGACTCTGAGTGTTTGTCTCGCTACAACATGACGCCCAGACTCGGCCCTCCGACCTACAAGAGTGACACAGAGGTCATCTGCACGTCTTACTACTCCAGACTGAACCCGCTGGAACACGGAGAGGTGAGACTCGTCCCTCGCTCTCTGTACCCGTCTCCCTCTATGCCCCTGTCTCCCCCTGACCTGTCTCTCTGTACCCGTCTCCCTCTATGCTCCTGTCTCCCCTGACCTGTCTCTCGGTACCCGGCGCCCTCTATGCAGCTGTCTCCCTCTGACCTGTCTCTCTGTACCCGTCTCCCTCTATGCACCTGTCTCCCCCTGACCTGTCTCTCTGTACCCGTCTCCCTCTATGCACCTGTCTCCCCCTGACCTGTCTCTCTGTACCCGTCCCGGTGTCCCAGATTCACACCTCCCTGATTAACAGCCGACCTGGAGCCGATGACCTGACCTCTGACTGCTGAACTTCACGTCAGCTCGTACCTCAGACTACGGCTTCAGCGAATCAGAACGCTCACGCCGACCTGATGATGCTGAGCGCCCGTGACCCCCGAGAGATCGACCCCATCGTCACACGGAGGGTGAGACAATGTGCTACAGGGTCAACATGTTTCAATGAGTTCTAATATATCTATAAATAATAATTCTGTCTCCCAGTACTACTACTCCATCAAAGACATCTCAGTGGGGGGGATGTGCATCTGTTACGGCCACGCCCAGAGCTGCCCGCTGGACCTCGTTACCAAGGTAACCTGTTCTACCTGTACATTGGGTCACCTCTTTACCAGTTACCTGTGTACTTGTTTAGCTGTACACCTCTTCTAACCTGTGTGTGTGCGTGTGAACAGAAGTTAAAGTGTGTGTGTGAACACAACACCTGTGGAGAGAGCTGTGACCAATGTTGCCCCGGTTACCACCAGCAGCCATGGCAACCTGGGACCGTCTCCGAGGGAAACACCTGTGAGAGTAAGAAGATTGGAAATTTAGAAAATCCTTTTTACATTCTGACTGTGGCTCCACCTGTTTAGGAACACCTGTCTGTGTCTCTACCTGTCTGTCTCTCAGAGTGTAACTGTCACAACAAAGCAGAGGACTGCTTCTACAATCAGACCGTCTCACAACTCTCTTTGAGTACAAACACTCACGGCGTTCGTCAGGGAGGCGGAGTCTGTTTGGACTGTCAACAAAACACCGCCGGTATCAACTGTGAGACCTGCGCTGCCGGGTTCTACAGACCTACTGAGGTACTGGCAAATACTAGCAGTAATACTACAGACCTACTGAGGTACTGGCAAATACTAGCAGTAATACTACAGACCCACTGATATAAAACATTTTTCACTAAATGTGTGTGTGTTTGTGCGTTTGTGTGTAGGTTTCTCCATATTCAGACTCCCCTTGTGTCCCGTGTAACTGTGATCTGAGGGGATCAAAGTCTTCAGTCTGCAGCGGAGACGACACCCGGACAGGTCACTGTTACTCTGTTTCAACACTGCTACTACTACTGTTGTTGTTGGTGGTGCTGTTGTTTTGAGTATCATGACGTCATTGCAGTGTGTTGTGTGTACAGGTGTGTCTGCGGGGCAGTGTGTGTGTCAGCAGGGCTTCACGGGTCGGCAGTGCGATCGCTGTGCCTTTGGATACAGAGACTTCCCTCGGTGTGCTCCATGTGAGTGCAACCTGTCCGGCAGCGTCAACACAGACCCCTGCAGCAACTGTACCTGCAAGGTGAGCGCTCTGATGATGTCATACCTGAGACTTCCCAGTACCTGGGTCTCCTCACCGTACCAGGGTCACCTGATTCCTCACCTTGTCCTTGGTCACATGGCCACTCACAGTCGCAGGGCTACCTGAGACCTGACCCCTGTCTGTTGTCACCCCTTACAGGGTGTTTTATGACGTCTCACCTGTCCTCTCCTCCCCAGGTGAATGTGATGGGGGCTCACTGTGATCTGTGTAAACCAGGTTTCTACAACCTGCAGGGGAGTCACGAGCTGGGCTGCACCGACTGTTTCTGCTTCGGTGTGTCTGACGTGTGTGAGAGCTCCACCTGGTCCAGAGCTCAGGTAACATGCAGAGACTCACCTGCACCCGGCACCAACACACCTCTTACTCAGGTAACACGCCAGCACTTCATGGTATTTCTTTTTCTTTTTCAGGTGTTTCATACAAGCGCTTCGCTTCGCCCCTCTCAGTCCCTCCACACTCCCCCAGTCATCTACACCAACGACCTCCCCATCTCCAACAACGCTTCTGGCCACGCCCACCAACAGGTGCTGTCGTGGGCGGCGCCCGACCGTTTTCTCGGAAACAAGGTGAGCCGCCATTTCCATATTTGGTCATTAACCATCAGTCAGTCAACAGCGAGATGATCTGTGGTCTGTGTGCCTGTCTGTCACCAGCTGGTTTCCTACAGAGGCTCCCTGAACTACTCGTTGGTCTATGACGTCCCGTTGGACAACGAGGATCATCCTCTGCCTGTCCGCTCTGACATCATCATCGAGGTGAGGAAAAACGACAGTTTCCATTAACGTTTCTTAACATATTGAACATGAACATAGAGAGTGGCGTCTACACTAAACGACCCCTCCAACCCCGTCGTCTCCAGGGAAACGGCCGAGCTCTTCGCCTCTCTCCTCCCGTTGTCCTCTTCTTCTCGGATCTGGCTGAACGCTCTGTTGCCGTGACGATGGCCGAGCAGAGGTTTGTGGACGTCCAGTCGGGCGCTCACGTCGCCCGCGACGATCTGCTCTCCGTCATGGCGCACGTGACATCACTGACGGTCAGGGTTCACCTGAACGCCTCCACCGAAAGGCCTGTACGGTGAGAGCCTCTCCGTTGCCATGATAACCCAGAGAGACGAGAGACCACGTGAAGATGCTCAGGAGATAAAACTTATGTCTCTGCCCGTCTCACTTTCTCCCTGTCTCACTCTCTGCTTGTCTGTCTTTCAGTCTCAGCTCAATGTCCATGGACTTTGCTGACTCTAGTGCAGTTTCTGGTCGTCAGGCGGTTGCCGTGGAGACGTGTGAATGTCCGTATGGTTACAGCGGTACTTCGTGTGAGGTGAGTACTCGCTTTCATGTACTTTGTGTGACATCTATGTCACCTTGTGTACTCTGTGTCACCTTGTGTACTGTGTGCGTAGTCGTGTCTCCCGGGGTTCTACAGAGTGGGCGGAGTCTTGTTCGGAGGGAACTGCATGCAGTGCGAGTGTAACGACCACGCGTACGACTGTGACACCGACGGCGTTTGTTTGGTGAGTTCTGAACTACCGATGAGAAGAGCCAGAACTCATCCTGAGACACACCTGAGTGACCTGCCTCTGTCCGTCCTCAGGGGTGCACCCACAACACCACGGGCCCCCAGTGTGACCGCTGCCTACCCGGTTTCTACGGCGACGCCACCGAGGGCACGCCGGGCGACTGTCGCCTGTGTCCGTGTCCTCTGACCGAGCTGTCCAACAGCTTCAGCCCCACGTGCGCACTGGACGCCTCCGGCCAGGTGTCCTGTGACCGCTGTCGGGACGGATACGCCGGGCGCACCTGTGAGAGGTGACGACGCGGGCCTGCGCCCATCCAACCAGTGGGGAGGCAGCGGGCTACACCTAACACCCGTCCCTCTGTGCGTGTGTCTGCAGGTGTGCCAGCGGTTTTCACGGTAACCCGCAGGTGGTGGGCGGGGCCTGCGTCCGCTGCGAGTGCAATGGCAACGTGGACCTCGGCAGGGCGGGGCACTGTGACACTGTCACCGGGGAGTGTCTGCGATGTCTGGGCAACACCGGCGGGAGGCACTGCGAGGTCTGTCGGCCCGGTTACTATGGAGACGCCGTGGGCGCAAAGGACTGTCGGGGTGAGACACACACACACAGACTCACATTCACGCACAGGAATGTTGATCTTTTCTAATCCAGATCAGCTTTGACCTCTGACCTCTTTGTTTTGCTCTTACAAGACTGAGGTTTTTAACAATAAACACAGAAGATAATATTGTTTTAATGTATTTAGTTGACTGATGAAGTGTTATAGTTTCTAAGTGTCTCTCTGTGTGTCAGAGTGTGGCTGTGATGTCAGCGGCGCCCTCTCCAGTGTGTGTGATGCCACAACAGGACGTTGTTTCTGTAGAGAAAACGTGACGGGACTCGCGTGTGACCGCTGTCAGGTGAGACAGGAACACGCGTGTACCACCATCATCATCTGATGATCACGCCTCGTCACCGATCTTATTATCTCTTTTTTCAGTCTGGGTTCTTCGGGCTGCAAAGTCCGGAGGGATGTCGCGCCTGTGGCTGCAACCAATTAGGATCTCTCTCTGAGTCATGTGATGAGAATGGGCGTTGCCAGTGCGTGGAGGGTGTGTCTGGAGATACGTGTGACCGCTGTAGCCATGGTTACTATGGTTTCCATGCCAACGGCTGCACAGGTAGCTAAACAGAGATTATCAAGGTCTCACTCTGACGTTTGGTTGCCTTTAATTGGCTGTTATCTTTTCTCCCAGCATGCAACTGTGATCACACTGGAGGGAACTGTGATCCAGAGGACGGCGCGTGCATCTGCCCGCCACACACAGAGGGAGACACTTGTGACAGGTGTGAGGCCGGTTACTGGGGTCATGACCCCACCACAGGTTGCAAGGTACACATGTACACAAAGATACACACCCATGTACATGAATACACACACAGGGTTGTGGATTGATACACTAACATCCTGGTGTCTCTTCAGCCGTGCGGCTGCACGGTGGCTGGAAGCTCCGCCCCTCAGTGTCAGCTGACCAATGGGCAGTGTCCGTGCAAAGAGGGCTTCTCTGGCCGATCATGTGACCGCTGTGCCCTTGGTCACCACGGTTACCCAGCATGCCCAGCATGCGGCTGCGACCTGACAGGATCCAACGAAGAGTTCTGCAACGCCACGCTGGGAGTGTGTGACTGTCAGCGCGCCGGAAAGTGTGTGTGCAAGGTACCGCGAGCCGTGCGTGTGTGTGTGTGTGTGTGTGTGTGCAGGTGTGTGTGCAGGTGTGTGTGTGAGAGTGACGGGTGTGTCTCGGTGTCCAGGTGGGCGTGTCTGGGCGGCGCTGTGAGGAGTGCGTGTCCGGCTGGTTTGCTCTGTCGGCTCTGAGTCCTGACGGCTGCTCGCGGTGCTTCTGCTCGGGTGTCAGCTCCGACTGCGAGGAGCAGGGAGGCCTGCAGCGAGTACCGGTGAGGATAAGTACACACGTGTACTAGTGGAGTACATCCAGCGTGAATACAGCGTGTGTACCTGAAGCCAGCGTCTCTCCCTTCTCAGATCACCGCGGGTCCCGCCCCCGCTGTCCTCTCGTTGGTCAGCCAGGCCAACCTGCAGGGTGTCGTGTCTGGAGTCCGCCAACAGGGCGGCGAGTCGCTGCTCGACACCCGTCACCTGGACAGCAGCCGGCCAATCGGCCCGCTGTACTGGAGACTGCCCCCCCAGTACCAAGGCCATCAGGTACAACTACACCGTGTGGGCCTTGTTTACTGTGTACTTCTTCATGTACATAACAGTACTTAAGTGTACTTTACTTGTGTTTGTACTCTCGTGTGTACTTTAGCTGCTGTCGTACGGCGGTCTGCTGTCTTACATCGTCACCTTCTACGCCGAGGACGGCTCGGGGCTGTCCAATCAGGAACCTCAGGTGCTAATGAGGGGCGGGACCGTGAGGAAGCATGTGATATATGCTGACATGGTCGCTCCTAGCAACGGCATCAGGACACAGCACGACATCCGGATGACAGAGGTACCGCTGCAAGGCATCATGGGACACCAGGAAAGTGGATATGAAAAAACCTGCAGCACTTTAGTGTGTGTGTGTGTGTGTGTGTGTGTGTGTGTGTCGCAGCACAAGTGGAAGTACTTTAACTCGGTGTCGGAGAAGCCGGTGAGTCGCGATGACTTCATGTCGGTCCTCGGCGACGTTGAGTACGTCATCATCAAAGCGTCATACGGGACCCGACTGCAGCAGAGCAGGTACACACACTCACATACACACACAAACACACACAGACACACACTCAGTGTGATGGTGTCACTTCCTGTCACATTGTAAGGATCTCTAACATCACCATGGAGACGGCGGTGGAGGCGGAGCTAGATGAGGGAAACGTGGCCACGCTGATCGAGTCCTGCATTTGTCCACCTGGATACGCCGGGCTGTCCTGTCAGGTACCTGTCACCATGGCAACCATAGACCGCCTCCGCCTCTCTCTCTCCAACGTTTCTGTCTGTCTCTCTCTGACCCGTCTGTCTGCAGGACTGTGCTTCCGGGTTTTTCCGTCAGCCTCTGTCTGAGCTACCGACTAAGAAGCAGAAGTCGCTGTTTGTTCGTCCGTGTGTTCGATGCCGCTGCAACAACCACAGCGAGAGTTGTGACGCGGAGACCGGAGCCTGTCTGGTAGATACATGAACCATGGCTAACACATGCTAGTACGCAGTGAAACATGCTAACACATAGCGACATGTTAACTTACGCTAGCACACTCCGATGAAAGCAGAGATAGAAATAAGTAGAAAGCTGTTTCTATTTCTTGTCAAGGACTGTCAGCATCACACCAGTGGGCGCAGCTGCTCGCAGTGTGCCCCGGGGCATTATGGGAACATCAGCGGCTCCATCAGCGACTGCTCGCTGTGTGCCTGCCCCCTGGTGGACAACAGGTGAGGCCGCGCTGCCGCTTCGGTTTCGCTCTTCTATCTTCATCCCAGTGACTGTGACTGTGTGCGTGTAGTTTCAGTCCCACCTGTGCGTCAGAGGGTGGAGGCGGTGAATTCCGCTGCACCGCCTGTCAGAAGGGGTATGAGGGGAGACACTGCGAGAGGTGAGCCTCCACCTTTGACCCCTGACCCCCTGAAGCTCAGCCAATCAGCCGTGAGCTGCTGTTCACCTGCTGCTGTCGTCCTGCAGGTGTTCGGAGGGTTACTACGGTAACCCGGTGGTGGTGGGCGGGTCCTGTGCGCCCTGCGGCTGCAGTGGGTGGGGCTCGCTGCGCCCGCTGTGCGACCCACTGAGTGGACAGTGTGAGTGCAAGGCTGGGGTTAAAGGTCAGTCATGTGACCGGTGCGAGGAAAGACACGCCCTGCAGGGAGGAGAATGTGTGTGTGAGTACCTACACACACACACACGCGCGCACACACGTGTGGTCACGTGTTATCTGAGATGACCTTTGGGGGGTCTTTGTGGCGGCAGCGTGCGACGATGAGTGCGTCGGTGTTCTGTTGGACGACCTTGAAGAAACCCACTTCCTGTCCGTCAACATGAGCGCCATTGGCATGGCGCCATACCGCCGGCTGGTTCTGCTGGCAAACCGGACCAGAGCCGTCCAGGTAGGAGCACACGCCGATCACATGGCTGATGTCCATCAACACGCAGAGTAAGTGTGACCTGCTGCGTGTTCCTGCAGGCGGCCCTCTCAGAAAACGCCTCCGTTGCTCTGCGGCTGTTCACAGTGGAAGACGAGCTCAATCATTTGACCTCCGACATCAACGCGCTGCTGCAGCAGGTGTCCAGATAATAAACTCCGATAATGACGTGTTAAATATATAGAACATAATATGACATCATTCTAACATATTAATTAGTTTTAGGATTTGAGAATTGTTGGCGTTGACTAAAGAAAAGTTTTCCTGTCTCCTGATTGGCCAGGTCCCGCGCCTGTCCAACAACCTGGAGAAAGTGGATGTGTCTGTAAACAGCACCGTTTCCCAGGGTGCACTGCTGCTGGATGACATCAGCAGCCTTCAGCACCACATCCAGGGTAAACGATGTGAACGGTCCTCACCGATGATGTCATCAACTCGTTAGCAGCGTCACAGCAGGCGCTTATTTAATAACAAATCAAATTGCACTCATAAAGTAATCTCAAATCCCATTGGTCCAGTGCTTCAGAGGAAGGCGGGGCTTTTGAACCAAACCGGTGCCAAGGAGCTTGATTCGGCCAATCAGATGCATCTGCTGGAGGAGGTGGAGTCCATGATGGAAAGCATCCGCGCCATCGACCTGAAGGGCACCAACGCCTCGGCCAATCAGGAGCTCCGGTTTGTGTTTGTGTGTTAGATAAAAGATAAACGGTTTACGTGGGTACAAGTAAAACAGCAGGACGTCTCTCTGCAGCCTCTCCGAGTCTCTCGTCCGATCGCTGCAGGACGACTTCCTGTCCGGCAGGGCGGCAGTAGACGCCAGACTCCGCCTCCTCTCCGTGCCCCTCAATGTTGCTATGGAAACACTGCAACTTGCTCAAACGCGGCTGAGCGACACTGAACTACAAAACAGACAAACACGCACTCTCCTGGAAACCGCACACGCTTTGCTTCACCGCTACAAGGTAGACACACACATCACACTGCAAAGACACACCCAGTGTAAACACACACACTGTACACACACACACTGTAAACACACACAGTGTAAACACACACATCCAGTGTATACACACTGCAAAGACACACACAGTGTAAACACACACACTGTAAACACACACACTGTAAACACACACAGTGTAAACGTACACACTGTCAGGAGCATTTATTGATTATTGATCAATAATAACATGTTCGGTGCCTATCAGTCCGTCCATCACAACCTCAGTGTGGAGTTGGTGTCTGTGGGCGGAGTGATGGAGGACAGTCAGCTGCTGCTGGATGACATCATCTTTCTGACGGAGGAGGTCACCAACACCAGCAAGGTGAGGGAAGCCTTCCTCGTTACAGCTGACGGTGTTAGTGACAGTCATTAGTGGGTGCAAATTAACCCCTGGGTGCAGCGGGTGGAGTCAATAGCGTATGTCAGGGGTCTTCAACGTTTTTCAGGCCAAGGTCCCCCAAACTGATGGTGAGATTTTAGAGGTGAGCATAAACACGATCTGATTGGCTGGGGCCTGTGACGTCGTATAAGCATAGGTGAACCCCTGGGTGCAGCAGGTGGAGTCAATAGCGTATGTTATAAGCATAGATGAACCCCTGGGTGCAGCAGGTGAAGTCATTAGCGTATGTTATAAGCATAGATGAACCCCTGGGTGCAGCAGGTGGAGTCATTAGCGTATGTTATAAGCATAGATGAACCCCTGGGTGCAGCAGGTGGAGTCAATAGCGTATGTTATAAGCATAGATGAACCCCTGGGTGCAGCAGGTGGAGTCATTAGCGTATGTTATAAGCATAGATGAACCCATGGGTGCAGCAGGTGGAGTCATTAGCGTATGTTATA